ACAGAAGTCCTACCAGTTCCCCTAAGCACATGCCTCAGCTCATTCAGCCACTTAGGTAAGCAGGAGGCTATTGGAAAGCAGAGGTAAAAATTCAGAGGAAAATGGTACTACCAGTTAAAACACCTGAGGAAAAACATTGCCCCTTCTGATCAGGACCGCTTTGCAGTACATCATAACACATAGCTGCAATAAAAATTCTTTTCCTGCTGTGGCCAAGACATAGTGCTGTAGCTCTTGAGCAAGCCCTGACCATTACCTTTAAGCAAAAACCACAAGAAGAGAGGAGCATCCTGAGAATGACTCTCTCTTTCTGCTTCCCTTGACTACTGCCCTAAACCATCTGCTGACCTTGCCCTTGCTGATTTGTTGCTATTGTTAGAGCTTATCAATCTGTGCCTATATCTACTTTATTTCCAAGAAACACTAATTTTCTACCACTGTTCAGCAATGTAGTTGCAGCACTAGGAGGTGTGACAGTAAAGGTTTGTGACCATAGAGAAAGGAACCTTTAAAATAAAGAGGGCATTGTGGAATATGCAGTCTTATAGTGGTATATAATGTCTTGTAGCAAAGCACCAAAACCAGAATTTTGTTGGGGAGGGTGAATGTTCTCTGCGTTTTGTTTTATTCCCCCCCACCCTTTAGGAAGTAACCAGATGTGGAAACCAGAAAAGCAAGTAGCCACGTGTGTTAAAAGTTTGCAGGCTGAGAGGCTGAAGAAACAGAGTGGAGGAGAAAATAGAGAGGGAACCAGGCAGAAGATACGACGAGGCTGTATTGCTTAGTAGTGATTTCTCTATGCAATCTGAATTTTCTTGGAAAACCCACGCTGTAACAAGTGGGAGATAGTAAAAACCAGCACACGCACTGCATGAGCTTCCCTGGTCAGAGAATTTTAGAGACTACATCCACTCTCTCCTCAAGGGTTTCTGGGAATGGAACTAAAATGGTCTACATAAAAGAGAGGACACTGTGTAACTACATCCAGTGAGACCATCATTCTGAGACATTTCAGATTCTTCACAAGTGCCAGTTCTCATCAACCGTGGTGTGATTTGTCTCAGCTACTATACCTTAGGATGGTCCCACAGCAGCCTGCCTCCCTGATCTCAGGGAAATGTCAACACAGACCCACAGCTCGCTGACATACTGCTGCCATCAAGACAGGAACTGTACACTGTGTGACTCAATGAACTCAGGCCTCAGAGTTCAAAGAAAGGGATTTTCCTTTCTCATACACCACCCCTCTTCCATCCTGTTCCGTGTCCTGGGAACACTAATCCCAGAAGTCTGAGTCCTTAGAAAACATGTTTTTAGCTTCAAAAGGGTGATCCACCTATTGAAGCATACCACTTTGTTCTTGGGTAGAAATATTTTAGTATCTCAAACACATCTACCATTTCAGAACTGAAGAATATCCACTGTTCGAAGGGACCCACGAGGATTATCAAGTCCAACTTCTAAGTAGCACAACTGCCCTGTTCCTCTTACACATTCCTGGTATTTGGAGTGAAGAAAACAACCAACAACCCCTCCCACAGGACAGAAGGAGGCTGATATAGTGCTCATTGCTTTGTGGGAAACACTCTAGGAAAAGTCAAAAAGTATTTTCTATCTCACACACAAGAGGCAGAGTGCATTGGGAACTGTCACCATTGCCTTTATCAAAATATTGCGTTTCATGGGAACAAGCAAAGAGATGTAAATACAACATATGCCTTCTCTCTCCTGACTGGGCATCTGATGTTCTGTTTCAGGGCAGCCAAGGAGAGGACACCACATGGACACACATTAAATCCAGTCTGTATGTTCATGTAGTCATCTATGACCTCATTGTCAGAAGGACCTAACATCCCAATCTGTGTGGCTATTCTCTCAGTGATTTCTTTTGCTAATTTGAAATATCTTAGAAGAAAATAACAGTTTAAGTCGGTTCAAAAGAAAATAGATTTCCCCATAAGCAAATATGCTCCAAGTAGCAATAGTGCATTTTGCCTGCAGACCCCCAAAGCAGCAGTCAGTGTGCTATGAAGATTGTGGAATCATTTGAGTCAGAAGAGGCCCTTAAAGGTCATCAGTTCAACTCCTCTGCAATGAGCAGGGACGCCTACAGCTACATCAGATGCTCAGAGCTCCTCCAGTCTGACCTTGAACATCTCCAAGGATGGAGCAACCAGCATCTCTTTGGGCAGCCTGTGCCAGTGCCTCATCACACATATTGTAAAAAAACTCTTCTTTACATCCAATCTAAATATTGCCTTTTTTAGTTTGAAACCATTTCCCTGTGTCCTAACAAAACAGACCCTGCTAAAGAGTCTGTCCTCTTCTTTCTTATAGCTCCCATTTAGATATTGAAAGGCTGCTCTCAGGTCTCCCCAAAGTCTTCTCCAGACTGAACAGCCCCAGCTCCCTCAGCGTGTCCTCATAGGAGAGGTGTTCTGTCCTTCAGATAATTTTTGTGGTCCTCTTCTGGACACACTCTAACAGTTCTACATCTTTCCTGCACTGAAAATTCTACATCCAGACACAGCACTCCAGGTGAGGTCTCACCAGCACAAAGCAGAGGGGCAGGATCACCTCCCTCTCCCTGCTGACCACGCTTCTTTCGTGCCCATGATACAGTCGGCTTTCTGGGCTGTGAGGACACATTGCTGGCTCATGAACAGCTTGCCATCCACCTGTACCCCCAAGTCCTTTTTGGCAGGGCTGTACTCTATCCTTACATCCTCCAGCTTGTACTGATAGTGAGGGTTGCCACAACCCAGGTGCAATACCTTGCACTTAGCTTTATTGAACCCCATGAGGTTCACCTGGGCTCAGTGCTTGAGCCTGTCCGTATCTCTCTGGATGGCATTCTCTCCATCAGGCACGTCAACTGTACTGCACAGCTTGGATTCACCTGCAAACTTGCTGAGTGCAATTGATCCCAAAGAAAATCCATAAATACTCTTCTGATTGGGCTGAGAAAGAGCCATCCTGGATGGGTCTCATCTTCCAGACCTGCAGGCACCACATGCGCTGCTCAGCTTTCTCCATGCTGGAGATATGGTATCCATCAGGCAGGGCACGTTCAAGGACACTAGAATTGGATTGAAGAAAAGAAGAAAGATATATCAAATAGGAAAAGGGAAACTTTAAGAATCATATTGAAGTGTTGCAGAAAAAGTGTAGTCTTGACCACACAGAGAATGAAATAGAGCCTAACAGACAACAGCAAAGGATAATATTGGCTTGAAAGAATACGAAGTTGCTGATTTCTGACCTACGTGAAGAAAACATAACATAGCAAATCATACTGACAGCTCAAATGTGGATTGTTATCTCTATGGATGATTCAGCCCAAGTGAGGTAAATGGGATGTCAGAAAGAAAAGAGGAGGACTGAGGTTCTGAGAGGAAAACACCTCACATCCATGTCCCATCCCTTGAAAACAAGGACTGTCACAATGCTATTGTACACATTGCAGCCTGTATCAAATTAGGAGACCTTTAAGCAAAAAAAATGTTACCTTCTGGCATTGCCAAAGTTCCACACTGGTGTTATCTGCAGCCCCACTGGTGGCACCCAGAGCCCCACTCTTTCTCAGCAAGTCCACACATGGTGTCAGGGTACCATATGCACCATCTCCAAAAACTTGAGCTTTTTTTCCTCCTCTTCCCTTTCCTTTCTGCAGCCATTGCAGATATAAAGAGGTTTCAGCCATTCACTGGGCAAAGCAGTGTGTGGGGAGCAGTGAGCAGCACTGGATGTGGCAACAGCTGAAGGGACAGCACTGGCAACAGCAGCAGTTGATGCTGCAGCAGCCCCAAACCCATGCTCCGTTAGCACTGGGCACGGCTCAATCCTCTTCCCCATTCTGGTTCAGCACAGGGCCAACACATCTACAGAAGAGTAGAATGGATTTCCTCTGGAATCTTCACAGCAAAGTGGCTGCTGCTTTGGGATCTGCAGACAAAGCACACTCCAGGCAGCTAGAGGGCATTACCCCATGAGCTCCTCAGCCAAAAGAAAAAAAAAAGTCAGGATAAATATTTCTGTGCAGAATAAGAACAGGAGCTTTCTCCACAAGGCTGTTTCCATCCCTTTCCATTAAAGTTTAAAATAATCCCTGTGGAGGAAATCTGGGTGCTGTTTTGTTGTTGTTGTTGTTGGTTGGTTTTTTGTTTTGCATACTTAAAAACCAACAAAAAACCTCTCATATTACTTTCTGATCATCAGTGGTACCTCACTCAGGGTGCCTAAGAAAAAAAAAAAGCCTGGTGAAATCTGTCTGGGCTGAACAAAGGAGTCCCATGTTGTCACTTATAAGGAGGGTGGTGAGGCACTGGCACAGGTCACCCAGAGAGGTGGTGGAAGCCCCATCCCTGGAGACACTCAAGGTCAAGCTGGAGGTGCTCTGAGCACCTGATGTCACTGTAGGTTGTCTGATCATTGCAGGGAAGTTGAGACAGGTAGCCTTTAAGGGTCCTTCCCAACTCAAACAATTCTATGGTTCTACAATTTAAGTTACTGCTATGACTTCAGTGCTACTTTGCTTGATCTTCATATTAACTTTGAACCTTACTCAAAAAGAAAGAAGCTTACTGATGATTTCCCCTTAAGTAAGTTGCAGTGTTTTGCAGCACGCCAGTCTGTTTTTTCCTTGGACGTGCCTCCAAAGCCAATGGCTGTGTCCATCACTCAGAACTCCTTCTCGTGATCCATTCTCTATTTATTTGTAATGCTTTCCTAACACTTACCACAGAGCAGTGAAAAAATTGAGAGCACATTTTGTGAAATAGGTCAAAATGGTGTCACCCAGTAGAATTTTGTGAATTGTGCTATCTTAATGCTAGTAATCAAAACTTAACATCAGTAAGCCCAGGAAGTAAGCTTAGCTTTAACAGCATGCTCAGTCACAACTTGGTCATGTGTCTGATGAGCAGCCATGTGCCAGAAGCAGACTTGAGAAGACACCAAAACAGAAGCAGTGTGAACATTGTAGCTCTGTCTTCTGGCTGTTTTCCTCTCTCCCAGCACTCTAAGGAATAATGAAGGCTTCTGTAAGCATCAAAGTTGATGTCAGTGTTCAACACAACATAAAGCTCTGTGCAGCTCCCGTGTTCACGTGGGACTTATTGAGCAAAGTCACATCCTACATGGAACAGCAGTTGTTCTCCTAGGTAGAAATAAATAGATTTATGCCACTTCACATGTTCATCGAGGCAGTGGTGTGGGGTTTCTTCTCATTATATAGGCATTGTTTTATTCCTATTAGTTCTGATAGCAGCTCTTCTACTCAAAATAACGTGGCTGTAAACTTAAAGCCAGTGACAGCACAGAATACCTCATGGATGTCACGGCTGTGTTGGGCTGCATTTGCTCTGCAGGCCTCATCTCCAGCATGGAAGGCTGCAATCTGAATTCAGCATCTGTAAACGTTAAGAATTAACAAGATATCACATCTCTCATATTGAGTTCATAAGATGTCCACCCAGCAGCAGCCCAGACTTCTGTTAGCACGGCAAACTCAGGATGCAGTGAGAGACGGTTCAGAGGGACTCATCTGGGAAAACCTGGAAGAAGCTGTATGACCTCAGACAGTCCAGATTTTTTGTGAACTTCTAGTGTGTCCTACATCTTGTTGCTCATATATACAAATACACGTGGAAGACATGTGAGGAGCGCTGAGGTCCCGTGGTTTGCTCAGCCCAGAGAAGAGGACTGTCACGATGGCACTGTGACAACTCAATGCTCAGCCAGCTCCTGACAGGAGAGGGAAGGTGTCACGGTCCCGTGGAGGTTCCACAGCAAAATACCATCAGCAGCTGGACTGTGGGTCCCATCTCTGCCAACAGACGTCCTTCCCACGTCCATCCCAGCGTCACCCTACCCAGCAGCCCTTCAGCGTCCTGAGGAGCCACTACCCAAAGCGGAACTTCAGCCGGTAGCGGCCGGGACCGGGGCTGTGCCGTGCCGTGGCCATCTTCTTGGGCGGCGGTGGGGGTGGAGGTGGCTTCTTCTCAGGGCGGGCGACGGTGAAAGCCAGCTGGGACGGAGGGGGCTGCCGGAAACGGGGCAAGAAGTGCGTGGAGACGTGCTGGGGACGGGCACGAGGGCTGCAGCCCCTCTTAGCCTTGCCCCGCTTGTTGAGGGCCACGTACCACTGGCGGCCGGAGCGCTGCCCACGGTGCACGGCCGAGGCATAGGTGTTGTAGCTGTTCTCCTGGAAGCGCTCACGGAACTGGCACTCAGCAGTGAACCGTGCCTGCAGGCAGAGACAGAAGTTAGCTGGGGGGCTGCCCCCACCCACACCCCCTGCCCATAGCACTGTGCTGACTCTCCCAAACTGTTGCTCCGAAACTGGTGAGGGATGCGCAGGGAACATCCTGGAATCCAGCAAACTTCCACCATTCCTAATACCTCCCTGTACAAACTGGGACTCCACAGGAAAATCCTTCCCCAGAATTGGGATTGTGTTGCAATGTACTTTCCCAGCAGATTTTTTTCCCTGTGTAACACCTGGAATCAAATCTTTCAGTCTCTGCATGGAAGACAAACCATCCCCACTGATTTTCTTGTGCTTTCCTGCTTTTTAAAAAAGCACCTGAAATGCTGCATCTCCACGTGCAATTCCTATGCTCACCCCCCTGCCCCATGGCACCCTGACTGCTGGGTTTAGGGCTGACCAAGGCTCCTGGAAAGCTGTAGACCCGCAGAGCTACTCTCAGAGCAGCAGCAGGCCTGCGGGCATGGCTGTACCACAGTGCAGCACCGTGGCACCGCAGCGGCTCCGCATCAAAGCATGGCTGTGAGTGACGGGCACAGAGCTTGCTTTGTGCATTGGGCCATGAAATAACTTTATCCCGCCAAGGCCAGGAGGAACAACAGATGCAGGCTTTGCATTATCGGTGTTATCAGCCCAGCCATCCTCAGGCGTTTGGGTCAAGTTTCTACAAATTGATGGCTTTCAACAGAGGAAGGCACCATGTCTCTCTCCAAGGATGCTCCAGCAACATGGATTTGCCACGCACAGATGAGGCTGAGTTCCTTGCTGCATTTTCATAGAAGCATAGAATGATTTGAATTGGACTGGATACTCTTTAAGGATCCTTCCAACTCCCCTGCAATGAGCAGGGACCCCCAACAGCTACATCAGGTACCCAGAGCCCCTCCAGTCTGACCTTCAACGTCTCCAGGGATGGGGATTCCACCACCTTTCTGGGCAACCTGTGCCAGTGCCTCACCACCCATATTGTAAAAAACTTCTTATGCCCAATTCAAGACTTCCCTCTTAGTTTGAAACCATTTCCCTTTGTCTTATCACAAGAGACCCTGCTAAAGAGTCTATCCCCTTCCACCTTATAGCCCCCCTTTAGATACTGCAAGGCCATTGTTTTGCCTACTCCTGCTCTGCCCATTTTCCATATTCCCCCCCCACAGCCATCATCGCTCTCCCAGACCCACCCTGCTTAGACACAACAAAGTACTCACCCTCTGGGCACCCCCAGGAGACATGCCCCCATAGAATTCAGTGCAGAGCAGCACTGAGAGTGCATGAACCTCACTTGATGGCTCCCTGTGGGCTTGGGTAGCCCCAGTACATTACCAACACTCGTGTTGCAGCATCACCAACACAGGGCAGGCACCCACAGGCCCCGAGCACTAGTGTGTGCACACAGCTGTTGCAGCACCAGTACTGTGCTGTTTGCACTGGGAATACTCACACTTGCGTGGAGTTTTCCTTTCTTTGACATAGCTAGAAATTTGTTGCTGAAAACTCCTCGGATTCCAACGATCCCCTGAGAGACAGCAAAGATTTCCAGAACGCCTAGGACGACAGAAAGCTCAGAATAAATCACATTTCTTTTTGCATCAGCGTGACAAAAATAAAGCAGAAATCTCACGGCTGCATTTCTCCAGCAAAGGCCCCGCTCCTCAGCAACCGCCTCTGCGCGGCTCTGCTGCTCCTGTCCCCAGCAAGCAGCATGACGCTGCGGCTCTGGGGTTTGGCTTATTCCTCTCCTTATTTCCCAGCCAGTTCCCCGAGCCCACGGGGGACAAGCTGGGTGCCGATGGTGCTCTTATGCACGGCTCGGGCCAGTGCCGACAGATTACAGGTTCGGGAAGCCCCATTTTACCCCAAATTTCTCACCTGTTCTCAAGCCACGCAGGTTTGTCCCCACCCCAGCCCCGGGAGCCGCGGTTCAGAGGGATGGTTTGGGACAGGGAGAGTTCCCACCCGGAGAAACCTTTCTGCTTCCATGCGGCCAGCTGCCACGGCCCCGACCTCCAAAACGCGGGCAGAAAGGGGCCCCGGCCCCGGCACTCACTGAGCGGGCTGGCGGCGTGCGCGCCGTCCACGCGGCCGTCGGGGTGCAGCTGCAGGTGGAAGCCGATGCCCACCCGGCAGTACAGCCGGCCCCGCCGCCGGCCCGGGCCCGCCGCCGTCAGGGAAGAGGGAGAGGAGGACGAGGAGGAGGAAGGCGCGGAGTGCCCCCCGCCGGGCAGCCGCTCCCTCCGGCCGCGAGCGGGCAGGGCGAGGAGGAGGAGGAGGAAGAGGAAGGCCGGGCGCATGCCGCCGGCGGGAGGAGGAGAAGGAGGAGGAGGAGGAAGGGCGGGAGGAGGGCTCGGCATCCCGCTCCGCCACCCGGCACCGGCGGGAGGGGGCCGCCCCCGCCGCTGGCAGCCCGGGGGGGCCGCACCTGTGCTAGGCCGAGCAGCCCCCGGCGGTGCGGGGCGCGGCGCTGCCTCGGGTTACGGCGGGGCCCCCCCAGGGCCGCCGGGCCGGCAGAGATTGGGTTGCAGCCTCGCCGGGAGATGACAGCCGGCAGCTGCGGGGAAGGGGCCGGGGCCGACCCCTCCCGTGTGGGGCCCCGGGGCTGAACACCGAGCCGGGGGGGGGCAGCGGCAGCATCCCTCATCCCCAGTGGCCCCTAATGCCATCCCACCTCTTACCCCTACTCCTGCTTCATCTCTGCCCCACACCCCATGGGGGACGGTCTCCCCAAACACACCTCTCGTTCCCCCACCCCCTATCCTCCCTCCACACCCCAAAGCCTCTGGAAAAGCCCTCCTCTTCACTCATCCCATACCCTTCCTTTCTGGTGCCCACCAGCACCAGAAAATCCCACTTGCAGGGCCATCTGGGGGGAGGAGGGGGAGTTGTCCCGGGGGTCAGGTTCACAGGAAACGCCATAGGTGACCTTCAGCTGTGAGGAAGAGGAAGATCATGGGAGGAGGGGGGGGGAACAACACATGCTTGAGGGTGGCACGCATGGTCCTGCATCCGTATCTATATATATACTTGTGTCTATAAATAGAATCATAAATATATATACACGCACTTATAAATATATAAGCAGGCAGACACACAGACACGCATGTTGCATCCATCTCTGTATGTATAGAAGTAGAACTGCCCCTATATTTAGAGGCCATACCTGCAGGAGGGTTGGGGTGCTCAGAAGACTCTTCCTTTTTTGCCGTTGCAGCACTCAGCCCAGTGAGACCCATTCGTTCCTCTCATCCACAATGGGATGTGGGGCTGGGGGGGGGATCGGTGCATCCTCATGGGGCATCCTTGGCTTGGAGGATGATTTACCCTTGTGAGGTCCATGCAGCAGGGAGGGGAAAAAAAAAAAAAAAGAAAAGAAAAGAAAAAAAAAAAAAAAAAAGATAGAAGAAGGCAGCTTGATTCTAAATAAATAACAAACCCTAATAGCCCACTTCCTGCAATAATCCAATTTAATTGCCTGTGGCAGTTGCAGCCCTTACACACACAGCAGCGGCCTCTGAAGGCTGCAGCTGAAGTGCTGCTGCTGCCTGAATTATTCAGGGCTTGGTTACAGAGCAAACTGCCAGTAGACAGAAAGATCCCTATGGACCCAGACCCTGTGTGTCCCATCCCTAAGGACTCCGTATCTGTGGGCTCTATCTTTGCCTCTTCCATCCCCAGGGGTCCCATCTCTAACCCCTTCTTGGTCATCCAATCCTCACAAGTCCCATCCCTGGTGGTCCTAATGCACCGGGAGCACTGAGGAGTGGCACTGCCTGTGCATCCCACAGCTATGCCATCATCAGCCACAGTGACCCCAATGGACACAGACAAGGACAAAGACCCAAACAAACCTAGAGTAGTGCTTACATAAGGAAATAAACGTTCCAGAAGTCCTAGAGGCACAAAGGAGCCCCCGTTGTACACTAGACATATTTCCCAGCTGCTGTCAGAGCATCACAGTGATTGATAGAAGCTCTGCAGGGATTGCCCCCTCCGCAATTGAGACTCTGTGATTTCGGCCACAAAATAGGGAAACCAGAAATGATGGGGAGAGGGTGGGAGGACAAGAACAAAATACAGCACGCAAAGCGGAGAACACTGCACCTTCAACAGCAAAGCCGTCTCTCCCCCTGTAACATCTCCGGGAACAGCTCCACCTGAGCTCCTGGGGATGCCCTGGGCTGAGTCACCACCGCAGCCCCGCTAGGTGGCAGTGCGCGCCCATGCACTGGCTCCAACAGAGCCCAAAGAACTAACCTCAGCCCTCCCCCCCCCCGCCCCCCAAGGTATCCCTACGCCACCCCTCAAAATCCCTTAAATTTCCCCCAGATCATACCGTAAAACCCCCCAAGCATTAGGAGCGCCCTCAGTCTGGGCGGAGCTGCCCTCACTGGGATGCAATGAAGCACAGGTGTTGATTAAAGTGTAATGAAGTGCAGGTGTGGGTGTGCGTGGTGGGGTGGGAAATTTGGGGGGCAGCTCTTTGAGAGGGGGGTTTCCATTGCGAAGTGCCGCGCTGGGGGATGTGAGGGAGTGGGGCAATGGGTTAGCGCAGCTTTGCGCGGGGGGAGTGGGGGATGGAGGTGATGGGAATATGGAACGGCTTGTGTGGAAGGGGAAAGAGGAAAAAGAAAAAAGAAGGGGAAAAAAAAAAAAAGAAAGAAAGAAAAGGAGGGAGGGAAGAAATGAAGAAAAAAGAAGACAAAGAAAGAAAGAAGGAAGAGAAAGA